GATTTATTTGAATTTTATGAACAAATGGATAAAGATGAAGAAGAGGAAGAGGAAACTCAAACTGTGTCTTTTTCCGTTTTTTTAAAGGTAATAATGTTTAATAAAAATTATATTTAAAAAAAAAATAAGATGTTATTATTTTGCAAGTAGTTCATATACCATATGCTTTAATTAGGATAGTAAGATATAAGTAAATTCATATATTTACCTGCTTCACTTCAAAAGACACAGTTTGAGTTTCCTCTTCCTCTTCTTCATCTTTATCCATTTGTTCATAAAATTCAAATAAATCAGCAGGAACATCTGGTTTATTCTGACCATCTGCCCCTTGAGAAGTTGATGGTCCACTATTTTCACTAGACTTGGAAATCTAAAATAGATAGCTTTCTCAATTAAGCAGAGGAAAATGAGACCAGACAGGCAAAAACACTTAAAGAATGTATGAAAGCAGACTGTACAGATACAATAATCTATAAATAACGCACTCCCTAAGGATTAATAGCAGTGACAATATACACAAAAATAGGTGGCATATTCACCATATTGAAAAGGGATTCTTATAAAGATTTGACATAATTGTTCAGCTAGTAAAGCAAATACATAAAGGCATAGACTATAATCTCAACATACTGCAGATTTGCTCTTGAACGTTTCTGTTATGAGTTCAGTTTCTTCCCCCTCTGCATTTCTCAGGCGACATTCCCTAATAACTTGGTCCTGAAGAAGTTGCTGAATGACTTCAGGGTGGGTGCTTTCTACAAAATACCTAGCAAATATTAAAAATAAAAAGGGAGGGGTGAATAATGCAAATAATTCATTCTATGTTATAACTTTTTACCATTTTAACATCTTCCTCTATAGCAGTGAACCTTTTTTCACCTCGGGTGCCAAAAGCATGTGCATGTACGCTTTCGTGGGCACTCACATGCCCACCCGCATAATTTAATGCCCCCCATGCCATGCCCCTTGCGCATGCGCGCATGGCTTTCTAGGAGCCTTGGGAGGGCGAAAACTATTTAGCTGGAGAAAAGAATGAATTTGTATCTGACTAAAATCCTTAAAGGGACACTTGCCACATTCATACATAAGAAACCATAAATCTTGGGTTAACAAGTCACAATTTGAAATAACATACATTGGTTACCTCTGGTTATTCTGTTATGTGAATTTGGGTGTTTGTTGCATTTTTGTTTTATTTCCTTTGTTTTTTCTGCAGCCATATCACATATTTGTTTGTTTGGACCTACAGTATATCTGATTCTATTTTACTCCTATTTGTATAGACATTGGCCCTCAAAAACTTGCTCTTACTTTAACAAGCTATATTTCCATATATTTCTGATCCAATCATATTTTATTCAGTAAACACCTTATGAAAAACCAAGATTGTTAACTGAGTATCAAAGCCAAAACTAATATCAGGATACACATTTGAAAATGCCATACTCCATAACTCAGGGGGAAAAAACATGCAAGTAACTATTTACCTGTTATGCTTCAGGACCAGCTTCACCTTTCCATAACTAACTGTACATAGCTACAAAATAATATTATTAATTAGAAATAGATACATAAAATCTAGTTGTATAATACATAGAATTAGGTGACAACAGAATACTTTCAGCAAACTATTCCACAAGAAAGGGAAATCAAAACTAAAGGTTTGGCTACAATTCATAAAAAAAATGCCCTGAATATTGATTTAGACCATATGATTTCATATACTTTCTCCCAACTTAGCACTCTTTAAATCATTATACCAAAATGCCTATCACCCAGATGGAGACAATTGTTGCTATAATACTCTTTGAGACCCAAAAGTTGAGAAAGGAAGATTTAGCAAAACTCATAACTCCTCTATAAAGCAGGTTTTGCCACCTGCGCCCATATTTTAGCATCTACTGGCAAAGTAAAAGAAAATTTACTACTCAATGGACAGGATTTACACTATCTAGAAGGTATTATCAGGGATGAAGAAAATATTAGGGAAGTCATAAATGGCTAAAAGCTTGCTTACATAATATGATCACTATATCCTTGTAAAATCTTGGCTACTTTCCATAACAGCAAGTGGGAGCATTGGTTTATTACCATGAAAAAAACAAGCCATTTATACCTATCTAAAACCAACCTTTCTCTAGTTGCGCCCATTTTTTGTCTCCCTTAATTATGATGAAGTAAATAATCAAATGTAAATACTAAAGTATATGCCATATTTCTCTTTTGATTTCTAAAACATTTATTCCCATGAAGCTCTGAGCCAAAGCCAACCACAAGAGAAGATGCAGTATTTCTTGTGATGTTTTACCCCCTCACCTTCCTCCCCCCTAGCATCCAGTCCTTTATATTCTGAACATGGAATTAGGTAATGAATGACAGTGTACCTTAATAAACTGAATGATCCCATAAGGCACACCAGTCTTACTAAGCTTTTGTAGATATTCAGTGATATCGCTGGTTTGCAAACCCACACTGACAGCAGCATAGAGGGAATAAGCAGTCAGTTTATATTCATGGACGTGAGTAGGTCGGCAAACTGGTTCAGCAATAGCCACAAGAAAATCCTGGGCATACTTGTAGACAGGTGAAAAGGCTTCTAAGAAAACATGGCCATCAGGAGCCTAGAGAAGAGACAAAAACTGAAGATAACAAAAATAACTACATATACCAAAGTTATTAAGTATGAGGCAAGAAAAAGAATTTCACCCTAAACAATTCAATGCTGTGAATGTATTTGTATTTCTGCTTTAGTGGAGAGGTGAGAGGGCATGTGGCCTTTTATATATTATCAAGTTACAGTTTCCAGCATCTCTCATTATTGGTTATGCTGGCCGAGGTGACAAGGACTGCGGGTTCTTGAACCAAGTCATTCAAAAGATGCGTCTCCAAACCACCTGGAGAAGAATGTGATATTTTTCATAAAATTACCCAAATGAATAAAAAGTATGATGTAACATCCTAGAAAATTCATTCACAGAGCAAAAGTAGTGCTTCTGCCTGCATGGATGACTTTTTGTTATTAATCCTCTCTCCCCCCACCATACAAATCACAAAAAAATCAGGCACCTTATCACAATAGAAGGGCCTAACTTACAACAAATATTCCTTCCATCTCCTTTAAAATAGATTAATATGTATAATGAGAAATACAGAGAGTCTCATTCATCACATGAATCAAAAAGGTATGGAGATACTATTTATAGGTTCATATGTAGAAGCTAGCAGACTAGGAACACAATAAGCTATGTTTCCTTTCTTTGAACAAAAGTGTTTTGAAAAGCAGTGCCTCTAAAAGAACTTACCACCCACAATGGGCGGGAAGAATGGTCAGCTTTAAGTGGCATCTGGTTCCTGTAGTCTTTTGCACCATATTCATCAACTTTGGGCCCAGACTCTTCCACTTGTTTCCCTGCAGCTGATGGAACTGCTTCTTGGGACTCTTTGCCTGTAAGGTCATATTCTTCTTCCTCTTCCTCCTCATAGTGTCGTTTTTTCAATTTCTTCTTATCTGGAAATCCAGCCGTAATTAAACATGCATACAGTTCCACAACTGTTTTCCCTTCACCCACATGACAACACAAATAGAGCCGTTTCTTAATGCAAAACGTTGAGGGAACCATGAATGTCAACATAGTATTTTACTGGTTTCAGAAGTTGTTGCTACTTATATTTCTTATATTCAAGGAGAAAGCAGAGAGCTATACAAATTATTATACAAATTATTACTACTTTCCTTTAGATTAAGGCAAAATTGGGTTTACTAATCCGACTTTTTTTTCTAAATAGAAGAAATAAAAAACATCCCAAGTGATACTGCATCCTAAATCTCATTAAAGAGCTTGCTATGTTTCAGAGAGCTATATATATTCCGCATATGGAAATTTTCCATGGGAAAGTGTGCACTTACAGAATAGCTTATTCCTGGTTATAGCAAAAGGAAGGGGGAGGGAGAGACGAGTGTGCAAGCAAAAACAACGTCTTGCTTTAAAGACAGAATTGAATAAGGCGAGTAGGTGAAGCACCGATTTATCACAAACCAGGACGTGCTGATTGTGGTCAAAGACATCAAAGCTAACAGCTGGGCGTTACGTTTTGTAAGCATAAGAGAACCGGCGTTGGAGCACGAGGAAGGCAGGGAGAGAAACCCAATGGCGCCAGGCCTTGAAGAACTTTCCCCGTCGAAGAAACAACGTCCCGAAGACAAAGACTGGCATCCCAGACAGTAGCAAAAACAGCTTCCAATTTTAGGGAGACGAAGCCGAGGAGCCTCCGAGAAAGCGGCAACGGCTTACCTCGCTCTTTCTTGCCCATCTCTAAGGAGTTCCGGCAACGCAGCGCCCGCCCGTGAGCGTCTCCGGGGAGCCCCACCGCTTCCGAAGCAGAAGAAAGCGAATCCGATTGCTCCTCCTCTGTGACGTAATCAGGAGGGTTGAACCTCGAGCGGGAGGACGATTTTGCAGTAGTCGGTGATTGGATCGCTTTATCGCTCCGGGGGGAGCGGGCGGGACAAATCCTCCCAGGAGGCAGAGCGAAAACTTGGCGAACCGGGGATAGGAGGCCTTCAGGAAATCTCAGGGCTTATCAGCAGGACTGGGGATGAAAGATTGAAAACCCCCAAACGACGGAAGACATGTCCGCACAGCTTCCGTATGATTGTAGAACAGCCGCTTCAAGGGCAGGTCTGCAGGAACCTTCTTCCAGTACAAACCTTTTTAATCTTGGCAGTGTCGATGCATTCCAGGAAGGTCTTTTTTAATTCGATGAGATCTATTGCTGTGTGGGAAATGGATGTAGGACTGCAGCCATAATTAATGGTTGCGAGTGGAGTTTTTTTTGTTTTGCTCCTTCACCTTTTCACAATCAACATTCAGGTGTAACTCAGCACTATCTGATCCACATTTCACCAGAAAGATTGCTACAAATGCGGAATTTTCCCATCAGTTATTATTTTGAAGAATTCAGTATTTAATGACCTTCCAATAGGAAAAAAAACATGTTAAAAGAGAATCATGAGAATGAGGTTGAATTCCGAGCAGGGAAGTAAAGGAGAATCTGGTTTAATCCAAAACAAAATCTTAGTCCTAAAAATGTGTTTATGCATTTATGCATACAACATAAAAACACGTATTACAAAAGTTAAAAGAAAGATTAAATAGAATATCCCAAAAACCCAATAGACATTTACAATGAATTTAGAAATTAAATTAACAATTAAAAGGCCGCCTTGCTGGAAAAGCCAATTTTTTAGGGCGTGCTGGAAGGATCGGAGGTCGGGAATTATGTGAAGCTCCGGGGGCAGCTCATTCCAAAGGGAAGACGCTCCCACAGAGAAGGCTCTCCCCCTGGGGGTTGCCAGCTGACACTGCCTGGCCGACGGCACTCTGTGGGATCGTACTGGACGATGGGAGGCTACCGGTGGAAGTAGGCGATCTCGCAAGTACCTTGGGCCTAAGCCATGGAGCACTTTAAAGATCATAATTAACACCTTGAATCGCACCCGGAAAACAACCGGCAACCAGTGCAGGTCATGAATTCCCTCTTGAGAGGGCAAGAGGGGGTCGGACAGTGGATGAAGTTCCGAGAGGGTTGGGAGACAAACTCCAAGGAAAGCCCCTCCCTGACCTTCTGGTGGACCCAGGCGTCCTCTGTGGTCAGTGCCCAATGGGGAGTGAACAGCTGGAGTCGGCCCCCAATGGGAGAGGAGCGTTGATGGTCACTTGGACTTGCAGAAGGACCTGTTGGAGACCCTGCCGCGGTTGGACCTGTGGACTGCATGCCCTGGGACCTATCTCCCACCTGACCAGCTGGTCTGTTCGAGGGAGCGGAAGAGGATCCTGCGGACTCACTGGAATGAAAGGACTGCCTCTTGAAATAGGGAGAGGATTTACGATCCTGTTTCTTGTTCAGGGTGGGCAGAACTTTCCGTTTATCTTTGGACTCAATCAAGAAGGGGTCTAAGACCTCCCCAAATAA